TTTATTATAATTTCTAAATCATGGAAAATAATCATATATTTTTATTACAATTTTTAAATCATATATATTTTATTACATGAAAGTAATCATGCAATCTTTCGAGTTATTGGCAATGTTTTTTACAACGATAGATTGTATGATTCTTTTAATCATACGATTTTTAACGCATTTTTATTGGTCATTTATCACGTGAATTCGTTGTAATGCGATTAGTACATAGCTATTATTAATATAGTAATATCCATAAAAAAAAACCGGATTGACGGATCAATTATTATTACTAATACTAATACTAATATCAAAAAATTTTACCGAAAATTCGTTGTTCGTTATAACAAGATTCTATTAATAAATTCGATGTAACAAAAGTTTTTTATTATTTAAAAAAAAAATTTTTTTCAATGACCAAGGTTCAACTGTATGATGACATCAATTTTCTTGTGTGACAGAATATCTAATCTAATTGGATTTTTCAAGTTTACTTTCGATATAAAACACAGGCAATGGAAAATTGTGTTTTTAAAATATATTTAATAAATATCTAAAAAACTTACATCAATAAATCCAAAAAATGGATAATAACAGTTATCAAAATTATTCTGACAATAATAATAATTACAATAATCACGATGTTTGGGTTGGTGGTTTTAACCCTGATAACCTAAATCATGTTTCTCATTCGAATTGGCAATCAAGAGACACTAATCAATATTCAGTTCCTGTCCAAAACTCTGTCGCGAATAATTTAACTCGCCAAACCCCTGGTGAAAATAATTCAGTTTGTCAAAATTCTAGAGATCATAATCATGTTTATCAAAACCCTAGTGACAATAATTATGCTCACAATAACTTGGTTCATAATAATTTTGTTAGCCAGAACTATACAAACAATAATTACACTCATCAAGTCATGACTCATAATGATCCTATTTATAGCAACGGTAATTTCGTTCGTCAAAATAATCTCGTTAACAGTATTGTCAGTAATAATAGACTTGTTGACCAAAGTTTTATCAATAATAATAATAATAATAATAATAATAATAATAATAATAATAATAATAATAATAATAATAATAATAATAATAATAACCATTCAACTAATGTTATCGCTCACCAAAACTTTTCCAACAACAACAATCATTCAACTAATACCATTACCCACCAAAATTTTGCCAACAATAATTTCATTGGTCAGAATAATTATTTCAACCATCATCAAAATTCCATCGCCGCCAATGATTGCAATTACAGCCATTTGACTAGATACCAATTAATGTGCATCAAGTTTCAACTTTTAAACGACCTCAATGACATAAATCTGTTGTTAGATTTAGATAACATTAATAACTTATAATTAATATTTCGTTAACGTTAATGTAGCAGTAATAATAATAATTTTTCGTAAAATAATAGGCAATGTTAATACAATAATAATTAGTTAATTTAGTATGTTTTTTGTTTTTGATATTGTGATTCATAAAGAAATACATTTAAAGTCAGTGACTTCAATAATAAAATTATTTATGTAAAGTAAATAAACATTATAAACATTTTGACATCCAATCTGTGACTTTTGGTCTTTATTCAACACCTTTATTGTTCATACAAATTGTCTAATTTAACTTCGGTAGAAAACTTAGGAATCAATTCGCAAAAAGAAGATTTTAGCGGTCCCGTTTACTTCGTCGAAAATCATTTCGTCGACAATCATTTCGTCGACACCCATTTCGTCGAAAGTTCATTTCG